TTTCTCCTACGTTCGTCGATTGCAACATTCCGGGACTATACCCCCCAGCGCCAAGGGTCACACGGCACCTAATCACTTTGGCTTTTCCAACCCCATCATCGAGTGTGTTGTTTTCAAAGCAGGCAAGGCAGTTTCAGGAGTCTCAAAAAACAAGGTGTGGTCTTTTTGGAACGAATCTTGGATTCGGAAGGGGGGACACCGTTCTTTTTTTTCTGGGTTTCGGGTCTTGGTGGCTTTGGGAAATGACCATAAGAGAATAGAGAGAAACGTCCGAGGCTTGGACTCTGGGTTTCCACGGTAGATGAGACAGACAGACAAGATCGCAGGATAGAATCCAGGACACGTCTTTGTGTCACGTACTTCATACGCCTTGGCGCCTTCCTCGAGCTTGCAACGTGAGACCGTCTTGGAGCATGTGATGGTTGATCACCTTTTTTTTTTTTTTTTTTTTTTTTTCCGCGGCGCCCAAGAATGACGTAGTGTCGAGTCGCACGATAGCCTAACACGCCTTTTCCCCGCTAGCTTTGAGAAGCTCAAGCTCCAGCTCCAGCTCCGCCACGGGCCCACCATCGTGAAATGGACCCCTCAGTCCCATCCACCGTCCGTCAATCCATGCCCTGGACGATCCCTTCCCGCCCCTGGGGACCACGATCCGGCAGCATTGCGTGCGAGCAGCCAAAGAGAACCGAAAAAAAAAAAAAAGACAGGTTCACCCACACCCACTCTTTCCTTCGGCCCGTGCCTTTCCCAGCGTCAATCATGTGCGGATGATGTCCGAGGGGACATGGCATGCATCAAAACGCGAATGGGAAGCGGGAAATTGGAACGAAAAATAAGTTGAAGCAACCATGAGATGAACTTTAACCGTTCCCTCGAAAGTGTGTGTGTTTACGGACATTGACGTCAATTGGGTTTCGCGACGGGAGATGGGCTCAACTCTATGCTGCGAGAAACCTTTCTTCGCACAAGCATTTCTTTTCTTCCTATCGGTATTGCCGCGCGTATTATTTCACATATAGATACAAGTAGCGTAGCAAGTGACGTCTCTACGCGTCAGATGCATGAGGACTTCAGATGCAGTTCCACCCCTTCCTCTTTCGGACGCATGATTACCAACGTGAGCCTCTTAAGTCGACAAAGAGGAAAGAAAAAAGACGCAAACCACGCCTGCAATAATCCCACAATCGCAAAAGTTCCGAGGCCACCGCTCTCTCCAACGCCTGGGTATTTGCCATCCCAAATAATAATCAGAGTAATGTTCTCGTATCACGGTACTTCCTAATGGCACCATCGTCGGAAGCCTCATCCATCATCGTCCGGATATCCTTGGCGCGATCATGTTCTACAAGTCTCTCTCCGACTCAACCCACCGGATGAGGGACACGATGTAAGGTGCCTGTAAACGTGTTAGCACGGCGTGTTTGCCAGCACAGAGTGGGGCTTGTGGGACGTACCAGAATCTTGTTCTCGCTCATGATCTCGTAAAGACGGGGAAGCAGAGTGCGGAACAGACGCTCGTTCCAGCCGCCGCCTTCGCCTCCAAGCTCGTGCAATTTCAGGAGATCCTCCTGGGCAGGGGTCTTGACGACGTTGCGGGCGATGTTACGGAGGATGAGCACCGCGCTGAGAGGAATGCCAGCAGCCTGGGGGCCCGCGGCGGGGTTCTGCTCGTCATGGATAGCGGCCGTCTCTTCGTACTGGAAGACCATGGTGTCGCCAGGCTGGGATCCGGGAGGAGACTTGTTCTTGTTGATTTCGATTCCATTGAAGATCTGACAACAGTGTGTCTGGAGGTGATGGCCCATTTCGGCGCGCTTGATCTTGGTTGCCTTCGCGTACTTGGCGCAGTCAGCCCATTGACACCGAACCTCTTCTTCGCTGTTGTCAAATGCGCCTTCCTCGTTACGAGTCCATTTAAGATGCGTCGAGACGACGTGGTTCCACATGGTCTCCTTTGATCCAAAGAAATGGCCGCACTTCTCGTTCGGTCGGCCGCTCGACGAGTCCCAAAGACAACGGAGGAAGACCTTGCCGTCAAGGCCCACGGGCTGCGTCCTGCAGCGGATGCCGTGTATAATAAACTTCTGTTGCATCTCACCGGGAGCGCCCGAGCCATGCCACACTTCAGCCTTTGAACCCTTGTAGACAGAGCAGCTGTTCCTAATAAAGTCAGCTGGAGTGATGAGCGGTTGGCCTTTAGCTTGCAAGGCAGCCTTGAATGCGGTCTGGTATGCCTGCCATGCCGCGATCTGCGTGACGAAGGAGTCCTTATCTTCCTCGAAAAAGCACTTGACCCATTGGTTACATCGCTCAGGTTCTTCGAGTTTAAGGAGTTCCTGCAGCAGGTCTTCAGGCATGGCAGCAGGGTCGTCTGTCTGAGCTGGCTTGATCGCGGGCCGCAGAGATGTCTCGTGCTGCCATCGTTTGGCATTGTGCGACAGCAGACGAACCAAGTGCTGGACCAAATGCTCGCAGTTGAGCGACTTGACAAGGTTGTCGACATTGTTGACAACGGCGGTATACTGGTAGAGAAAATCGAGACAGGCATCCATGAGCTCGTCGTCGTTAAGCAACATTAGCTCGCTGATCTTGGTCAAAACGACAGACGGGACCTTGTCCAGCTTGTTGGTGGCCTCGAAGTTCATCGAAATGCGACCAAGAGCGCGAAGAGACGTGAGGATCACGCCGCGGTCGTCGGAATCACGGAGCTGCCACATGAGGACCTTGTACAAGGGATCTCGAGAGTCAATCTCCAGGTACGGGGTAAGCGACTCGGCAATATCGAGCATGGCATGCTTCAACTCGACGACCCACTCGTGTTTGGGAAGGCTCAAGACGATGCAGATGAGGTCTTTGATGGGCAGGAAATCAGCCAGGTGTGCAGCATTCTCGCGAAGGAGCGACATGTTTCTCAGCGTCAAGGCGGCTTCGTTAATCAATACCATCCTGTCGGCAAGCTCTGCAGGGACAATGAGTTCGTTGAGCTGCTTGGGCTCCAAGGTGTCGATGCGCTCGAGGATATCGTCGGTGCCTTCGTTACCATCAAGAATGTCGATGCTGTCGGCGGCCAAGTGCGAGGTCCAAGAAACCTTCCACTTGATGTCGTAAAAGTAGCTGCCAATCTCCAGAACCTTTTCGACCAAGCCTTCACTGAGACCGGGGAAGCCCTCGAACTTGAATTTGTCATGCCGTTCGTAGGAAATCTTGACCAGATGGTACAGAGCAAACTGTTGCTCCTGGAAGATGTTCGAGCGCAGAGCCATCAGGCAGCGGATGTAGATGTTCGGGCCCTCAAATCCAACTGCAAACAATGTAAGCAAGCTTGCATGAAGCAAAACAACGAGGGTCACATACCACCGGGGTGGGGTCCCGTACGGCGAGGCGGCTCCAGAAGAGAACGAGCGACCTGCCGGCGCCGGGCAAATTCTCCGGGATTATTGCTGGGAGTCTCAACTGGTCGCATGGCAAGGACCTGCTGCTGCTGCGGCGGCTGCAACGATCTGGGGATGTAAACGTCAAGTGCCGATGACGTGTTTTCACTATTGGCAGGGTTGAAGCTGCTGCTTGGTCCCCTTGGAGCCGCACGTGGTTGATGCGGAAGAGGAACTGGAGTGTGTTGTACTTGTTGCGGGATGGCATGGTGAGCACCGGGCTGACCCGCAGAAGTAGGCGTTCCTACATGGCCAGGCTGTTGACCGGAAGCATGGCGCGTCGGCCTAGACGGGCCGGTGTCCGGCTGGAAGATGACTCTCTGAGGGGGGGCTTCACGTAAACCTCGGGAGGCTCTGACGCTTGAAGGAGCGGGGGCGTCTGGGGTCGGCCGCTCTCGAGAAGGGGTGGCATCGTCGCCAGAGGCCGCCGCAGAGTCTCCAACAGTGCCGCTTTCGCGCTTGCCGCGGAAGTTCTCCCTTGTACGCATCAACAGGCCTCCACCCTTGGCTGACACATCCTCCAAGATGTCCTTTGGGGGAGGCTCTTTGCCATGATGAAACTTGATTTCATAGGCAGCAAGATTCTTATAGTACTTTTCTTTCAGGGAAAAGGCAGTCGACGCAACGTTGGAAGAGTGAATGCCCAACTGTTCTGCCATCCTCCGCCAGGCCAGCTTTTCATCGGAGACCTTGTCGTAACCGCCATTCTCGCAGATGTGGGTGTATGTCTTGAACAGATCGAGATAGACCGGCCCAACCTTAGGCTCGGCCTCAAGAGTAGTGCCGCGCTCATTGTGGTATGCTTTCAGCTTGTTCATGAAATCCTCGTACTCTGGTGTTCGGCTGATGGAGTGAAGGGGAACTTCGGGTTCCTTCTCCGGTTCTTTCGAGGGCGCCATTGTCGACTTTGCGGGGTGGAACCTGTCAAAGAATGGTTAGAATGTTCTATAATCGTGAGAAATGCAGGTGGCGAACTAGCTGTGTAAAAGCCTTGGGGTTCCTTCGTGTGGAGATCCAGGACAGGCTGCAGGAGAGCCTCAAGGTTCTAGAAGTTGTCGCAAACGCGCTCGTTTCGTGTTTCGGCAGTTGAAGTACGCGTGTTTTATTGAAGTGCAGGTGCTGATTGTGGATTTTTTTGAAAATCCAACACACGATGGGAGAGGGGTTGGTGGTGCTGTCGCGCAGGTTCCGGGCCCTTTGCGATCGGTCGGTGATGCGCCGGAGACTGGAACCAACCAAACCGACCGTGTTTTCGCGACAGACTGGACGTTGGAAAAATCCCTGTCGCTGCTGAGCTTATCATCACGTGACTCAGAGCTCTGTGATAAGACCGCAGCGGGTGGACTACCTATGCTTTCCCCAGTGGGGTTAGCGTAATACGAGCTGCACTTGCCTGCCCCACGATCCTGCTTGACTGATGGGGAAAGACCCCTGCAGCTAAGGTAGGTAGCTGTTGCCCTAGGCTTGGAGATCTGGTGTAAGTCATGCTCGCTCTTTCTTTCCAACCATTTCTCTTATCTTTCAACTCTACGCTATCGTCGTCCTCCCCATCCGTGGACATCGCCGGACATGCCTCCCCAGGCGCTGCGCTGGGAGTTTGGCCTAAGCCGCTCCCAGGTTATGAAAAGGGTCTCTCACATATCTCCCCAATGGATCACTTCATCTGACCAAGGCAACTGCATCTTGGGGGTGAAGTTGGAGGAGCTGCTTTCCAGCCAGAGCCTGTTGCACAAGCCTTCCCCTCAACAGAGGGATTATGTACTTGTTGTACCCAAGCATGGGGGCTCACTGGTAAGCTGAAAGGTCCAATGGGGGGTACCCATGCTGAGAAGCTCGTAGAAGCTCAATTTTGGGAGCTTCGACGGGTCCAGGCTCCCAGACCGCAACTACATGCTGTGTCGTGACGACCACGCATTGCGTCTTGTCATCCGGTGGGAAACGATAGAGGTGAGTAAGGACGACGATGCCGCCGGAAGACACCAGAGACAGTGACAATTATAACACAGAAGAACTAACCTTGGTCAGGACGATACCCCAACGCAGACCCAAGTTTGCTTGGTTTTCAAGATTCCTGCAGACTTCGACCACGTTTTGAAGGACTTTGGGGATCTGAACCTACCTCCAAGAGCACTTCAGCAGGCACCACGCACTTCTCAACCAGTGTTCAGACGTCCGGAGCCATTCGCTGGCCGCTTGGCGGCATCTCAGCCCAGACCGTTTCACAGAGGCATGAGCGAAGTTCCCTCCGATGCCAGGCCAAGGTCGGCCGTAGACCATAGATACTCTCGTCAGAGCAGCGTAGCCCCTGCATCTTCAGGGTCATATATCAGCAGCAGCAGGCCTGCAGTTGGTCATAGCCACATCGCCGGACATACGCGGCCTCCCTCTCGTCCTCACCCCCCATCTAGGTTGGCACAAAGACCAAGCAGTACCCTCTCAAGGATCAACGAGAGTAGAGCCACATCAGTCGCTCCTGCAGCTAGTCAAGCCTCCTCTGGCTACTTTTCTCAGCCGCCTCATCGCCAAGCCTCCCTTCAATCTCAGTCATCGTCGCAACCCGGGCACGCTTTGAGTCAAGAGCTCAGCTCCGGCAGCGGTGGTCTAACGTCTGTCGAGGAATTCCTTTCTAGTCGGCCACGACCTATGACTACTGATCCTTTGGAGGGTCTTCCTCCACCTCGAAAACTCCCCTTCCGACGGTCAGCCTCAGTAAAGCCGACCCAATCTCAAGTCGCAGACCAAAGTCTCGATTCGAATGCCGACATTGGCATCAGGAGCAGCACCATGATCACCGATCGGTCGAAGCCGCCAGTGCTACCAGCATTCGGAAGGAACACCCCGGCTGAAAAGAAGCAAACGAAAATCACTTTGAGGACCACAAAGAGAAATCTCGAAAATGAAGTGGAAGATGCCGCCTCCAAGAAGCAGAAGTCTGATGTGCCATCCAGACGCATCTCAACAACTCCAATTCCGCTACCAAGGATGCCCACTCCAGCCTCGCAGGGATTTCAGCGTAAGACTCTCAAACCAGTTTCAATCAATGGAGATGAATTCCGGGCCGACGACATCGTGGAAACTCTTAGCAATGATCTCGCAGGGAATGAGGAGATTTCTACGCATTATACAACTCCACTTGTTCAAGAAAGCATTCCAGCAGAAACACAGCAACCGCCCCGTGTTGATGACACAGCCTTGTTCGTCGCGAAGTCGACGCTCCTGTGGAAAACAAACCTTTTTGGCGACGACGGTTACGACAAATGGTGCAAAGACCCACGGCCCGAAACACTGCAGCGGGTGATTGCAGAGATGCTGCAGAGAAACAGGCAGTCATGCCATGAAGCCGTCGCCCGCTATGGCTCAGGGGCTATGAATATCCCACTGGCGAAGCTGGCTGCAGCGATATGTGGAGGAAACGAATTTTGTCCCATGCCAGACAGCATTTACGATGGGAGAATTTGACGAGGACATAATGGATTTGCAGGAGCTCATGTCACGATTGTTACGATTGCACGCTACACGAGAAACGTATTCACGATAGACTTAGACACGGTGCGTTGAAATGAAAGTAGACCTCATGTTCTACGATAGACGTAATTCATTCACAACTTGAAGTCTTGCAACATAAAATTCTCCCTGCTATGGAGCCCACAATGAGTTTTACGGATTGACTCTCTTGAAAATTCTTTCTCTCGTATGAATCTGTCCACACACGCCGACGCCCCTGAACAAGCTGTCATCACAACACCACTCATCCTCTCATCAACTCCCGTACACCCTCAAGTACCCAAACACCATCACTCAAACTCAAGCCTTGCTCTCAACCTTGCCGCCCTCCGCCGCACCCTCCCCCTTATCCTCCGCCGAAAACGTCAGACTGACGCTGTTCACACAGTGCCTCTCGTCGGTGGGCGTGTCAAAGCCCTCGCCTTTGAACACGTGGCCCAGGTGGCCGCCGCAGTTGGCGCACACGATCTCGGTGCGCGCCATGCCCAGCGTGCGGTCCTCGTGGCGCACGACGGCGCCGGGGATCGAGTCGAAGTACGCCGGCCACCCGCAGCCCGACTTGAACTTGTGGTTGGCCTTGTACAGCGGCGTCGAGCACCCCGCGCAGGCGTAGACGCCCTCCGAGGGGTAGTGCTTGTCGAAGGTACCGGAGCCGGGGGCCTCCGTGCCCTTTTGGCGGAGGATGCGGAATTGTTCTTTGGGGTGAGGGTTAGTGATGTGATCTCATGTATAGTGAGTCGTTGAGACAATCAGAGAGGTTGGCGTACCCTTGTTCAACACAGCCCTCCACTCGTCATCGGTCCTCTTATCGGGATACGACATCTTGTCCTGCGAAGACGACCCGAACAGAGCTCCAAGGAAGGGGATACTCGGCATAGAAGCGCGCAGCGGGCGGGTGACGAATGGTTGCTGCACCGATGAGGCGGCGGCGGAGGCGACGCGGGGACGGGTGAGGCTGGAGAAGGTGTAGACAATGGTTGAGATGAAGGGTGAGAATCGCATTTGCAAAGACTCTCCCAAATGTGTAGTTGCTGATTTCGGAACTATCACCAGGTGTTTGAGGTTCTGGTGAGTGAGTACGTTTAAGCTTGACTAGGAGCAAGAATGTGAGTGGTGGTGGGGGTCTTGGTGAGGTTTTATGCGCGAAGGGTGAGAGGATGCAGTTTGAAGACGGGATGATGTTCCAATGAGGGGAGGCAGTGACAAATCGGAGGCCCGGGATGCTGGGACGGGGCGGCTTTACAGGGCCTGTGGCCACCGCGGGATGGTGTTGCGTCAACGATTTTTGGCGGGGTGTCACCGCCACACAGGATGCACTCTGGCGCCACAGCGTGGAATCAGTGGGGGATTCCATCACGATTCCATTGCGGGCAGGGGTCCCAGCTCACCCTCACAGCATCCTTCAACATCGCCACCCCTTCAGCTCACTGCGATTTGGAATGTGAACCGCACAGATGAGTGATTACTTGATTTCATTTGCTTACGATGGCCTCTTTCCGGGATTCTGTGCTCTCCGAATGAGTACGACCTAGGTACGCTACACGCCTGGAACGGCTCAGAAGACAACCTCGACTTTTTTCATACGCCTCACCCATGCAATCGCTCATCCGCCCGCCCGTTGTCTCTCACTGAACGCCAATCCTGCACCCGCAAAACACAGTCCCTAACATCGCAATTTCGTGGCTCGAAAGTCGTAGATTTAGAAGTTCTCCTTGCCAGCGAACTTCTCATTCTGCACAACCTCGACCCAGTAGTTGTCGGGGTCCAGCAGGAAAGCCACGTTCTTCATGCGGCCGTCGGTGAGACGCTTCTTCCAGTTGCACTTCAAGTCCTCGAAGCGGGCGCAGGCGGCATCGATGTTGTCGACAGTGACGCCTAGCTCGTGTTAGCCCTCATTCCCGATAGGTTTTCATGTTCCGCCGTGACTCACAGATGTGGCCAAAGCCCTGGGGCTGGTCGTTGCCGTTGTGGTAGCTGAAGCTCTCGTCCTTCTCGGTGCCGTGGTTCCAGGTGAGCTCGAGGATACCCTCGCGCTGCGCCTGGCTCTCGCCCTCCTTCAGGTCGCCGTAGGCCAGGAAGAAGAGCGTGAAGTCGCTGGCCTCGTTCTTGCGGATCAGAGTCATGCCCAGGACCTCCTGGTAGAACTTGAGAGACTTCTCGTAGTCCTTAACGCGGAGCATGGTGTGGTTCTGTCATTCGTCAGCGCCAGCTCTTCCCCAAATCACAGCTCCCGCGTACCATTCTGTAGGTAGTGACATCGGTCGTCTTGATGCTCTCCGTCTCCTCAATCGGCTTCTGTCCGATAATCTCAACCCAGTACTCATCCGGGTCCAGGACGAACGCAATGTGGCGCATCCTGCCGTCGGTCAGCTTCTTCTTGAACGCGTACCCGGCGTCCTCGAGGCGCTGGCACGCGGCCTGGATGTTGTCGACGCTGATGCACGTGTGCCCGAAGCCGCGGTGAGGCTCCGTGTTGCCGTTGTTGATCTTGTACTCGGCGTCGTCCTCGGTGCCGTAGTTGTGTGTAAGCTCGATGATGCCCTCGCGGTCAAAGGTGCTGTTGCCCGCGGAGGCGGCCTTGGGAGAATCGTAGGCCAGGAAGTAGAGGTCGAACTTGGCCTCCGGCTGCTTGATCTCCTTGATGACGGACATGCCGAGCGTCTCGTAGAACTTGACTTGAAGGGGCCATTAGCGGGTTAGAGACACGAGGACAGACTATGAGTGCGTACCCGAGCGCTTGGGGTCCTTCACTCGAATCCTGGCATTGGGTCAGATCTTCAGGCTGGCAGACAATTGAGTATGCAAGGCTCACATCGAGTGATTGAACTTGTAGTTCTTGACGTCCGTCGTGGCAGCCATGGTTGCGTATTGATTGGTTCGTCCTGCGCGTGGGTAATATAAGGTCAGAGGGAACAAGACGACGCTTGCGATAGAGACCAGATAGGGTTCTTACCAAGGGGCTTGGCAATGAGGGTGTTTTGGATAAGCTTAAGTCTTTGAAGTGCTCTGAAGGAGTTCATAGAAGCTGGTGAAGTGGTTTGTGGGATGCCGCTCAAAGAAGCTCGGAGATGGAAGCTTCAAAGATGGGGCCTTTCTTCGGACATAAAAAGTGCATGACGAACTCCTCAAAAGCTCCAGTGTCTCGTCACTGCTATTTTGTCAGCACTGTAACAGCTCCTACCCCGCCGTAGCAGCTCTGCCCCTCATGCTGGGACCCCCCTCCCACCCCACTGACGTCAATGTGAAGCCAATGAAATTGCACCGGCCCCGGTCCGGCTTCAACCCCGGGCTCGGCCGAAACCACCGACCTCGCCGCGACACGATTAAGCATTCGAGTTCCAGGCAAAACGCTGCTGTGTTTTCTCTATCAGTGTATGCTATGTGACTTCCCTACACTCCATGATATCCATTTTCTGTAAAACCTAGTCCAAAACGTTGCTATCAATTGCTTTTCATCGTTTCCAATCGCTGATCGAATTCAGCGCTCCTAATTCATGATCCTCGTCAAATGTAATACATAGTGTCCCGCAGGTTGGGGTGAACCTGGATCACGTTCGAAGGCGTGGTGCCGTGGGATACGCCCGTGGCTGTCGATGCCACGTCCGAAACATCAAAGAGATCCGGACGGTGGACACGGGCTCGGTCGCAGACAATGTCTGCGTAGTAGGCCGGCGGGCAAATGCTGACCGCCTTGGTGGCACGGCCGAAGAGGTAGCACAGGTTGTGCGTGAGCTTCTCCAGCTGGTCTGCCGCTGCGGTGCCGACACCGTACTTCTCCCTGAAGATCTCGTCCATGAGCACAGTGTAGTGAGCAGGGCGAGCAGTGCCCTTGAGAGCCGTGTGAGCCGTCAGG